ACTTTTCTAGTAGTTCCTTGTCCTTTTTCATGCAAGTCTCAGATGAAATTTTCTGAATGTACTCGTGATGGGACGCTGGGCCAGGTTCCCAGTTTGTGCCAATCAGTAAGGAAATGGTTGTATCTATGGGACGCTGGACCCGGTTACCAGCAGGTGCTGCTCCCCACCAATAGATGGAGCTTGTCTTTTAAAAAAAAAAAAAAAAAAAAAAGCCTAGCGATAGGTTATCAGTTATCCATGGTTTTCCATACTTTCTAGAACGTTTTCATAGTTTTCAGATTGCTCTTAGCCGAAACCAGGTAATGGCCCTGGTATTTCAAATCTTTTGTATACTTCTATATTGGACGCAGGGCCCAGTTCCCAGCACGTGTTGCTGCCCACGAATAGATTGGAGCATTCCCCCCCCCCCCCCCAAAAAAAAAAAGCTTCGGCAAAAATTGGCGTGCAGGGGCATTCCAGGCTCAGCATCGATAGCTGGGCCAAATACTGGTGGATTAAACAAGGCCACTATGGATTCACATTCCTTCTTTTGCTGCACTCTGTACTTCCAAAAGTCGGTCACTATATGGGTCAATGACTGTACTTTTAGGCTTTAGCAGCGATGTGTTGAATTTGTAGAAGTTAGGTCCCGGATCAATGTGGGAGTGTCCCAAATGAGCAACAATGTAGGGTTTGATACAAGTAAGGTTTGGTGTGCCTATGGTTCATAAGTTTTCACATCATTTTTTATAACCGAAGCTGCATAATGGCTTCGGAATCTTCACAAGTGCCATCAAATGTTCATTTTATCTTGGTTTCCAGCATGTGCTGCTCCCCAAAAATAGATCGGAGTTTTTTTTTGAAAAACAAAGAGAAAAAAAATGGACTGAATGACATGATGTCTACTACGGTCACCTTGTCCAGTTCTATCAGATCTTAAGACACCAGAAAGAGGTCTATTTGCGAGTTGGACAGGGTAAGTATGCGCTGCATACACATCCACGAATATCATAACGCAAGCACATAGTAGTACGTCGGCCGCAAGCAGCCTAATGGAGAAGGTCAAACATCAACATAGTCGAATTCGGCCAATCTGGCCTATTCAAACCAGCAAAACCATAACGCCAAACGAAGACCATACAAGGAGCAAATCAATGAGACTGACAAAGAAGAGCTGTAGGAGGGGAGAGATGAAGAAATGAGGAAAGAGAGACAGAGAAAAAAGAAAAGAAAGAGAGAGAAGAAGCAGAGGGAAAGAGATCAGATGACACGTCAGAGTCTCCCGAACGCGACCGAGCTTGAATTAAAATCGTAAACAACATAGCTCCTGAGGTCCAATCGTAGTTGGGCATCCTGCCCGTAGTCGTCAATATCAAGATGGACAGCAGCGAACAACCCTACGTTTCATCCGGCCGCTGAACCGGAATCGTCAGGGGTCTTCGTCACGTTAGGTTGCCAACTGACGTATCGATCAATTTATTTGTCTAACCGAGTTGACAACCAAAGATCCCAAGCACCTCGAAGACCCAAGGACAGATTCATAAGAATCAAGAACCTGGACTGGAAGGACCTCATAGGGGCGAAAAGAAAAGAGACTAAACTGAAAATTACAGAACTTCAGAAAAAAAACAGCGACCGTCGAGACTCGGCCTAAAGAGTAACGTGAGTCAACCAAGTTCCACAGGTGATGCGTTCGAGACCAAAACACCAATACAAGAAAGAAAAGGAAAGTAAATAAAAGAAAAAACTGAGCCGAGACTTCGAGCCCCACCCCAGAAAAAGCCAGTAACCATCAAGACTCAGCCTACGAGGTAACCTAGGCCTACGAGGTTCCAGGGCAAGGCGAAAGGACAAGCGAAAGATCCGTAGAAAGACAGACATGAGGCCCTCAGCAGATAGAACAGTGCCCCCAACAGAAAAGGAAAGCAAAAAAGAAGAAAAAACCGAGACGAGACTTCGAGCCCCACACTAGAAAAGGCCAGTAACCATCGAGACTCGGCCTAAAAGGTAACCTAAGCCTACGAGGTTCCAGGGCAAGGCGAAAGGACAATCGAAAGATCCATAGAAAAAGACAGACATGAGGCCCTCAGCAGATAGAACAGTGCCCCCAACTACCTAGCCCAGACCTAAACCCTTACTGAAAACAACAGAAGAAACCCAGAGCAGTGCCCTCAGCAATATCGGAGGATCCTAGCGAACACTGTCCCTGAAAGGATGGTCCCATCCAGTGAAGCAGACAACCCAGTCCTCTCAAATACCCCCGAACTTGAGTGAGAAGTGGGTTAAAGCTATTAGACTATCAAAAATTTCATCTTTAAAATCCCGCAACCGCAGTTCGATCTTAAGTTTCACAAGGAAAGATGCCTCAGCCAAAGGCAAGCTTGTAAGGCGTCTCGCTCGATGCATGAACGAGCCCACCACTGCGATCTTCTGTTGCTTACTCACAAAGGAAGAATTGTCTTGAATGCTCTGAAAAACAATACCCTTCGTCATAATCTCCTTCTGGTTTTTGTGGTAGGCATCGCACCTGATTCCCATAGGCCATCCTAGGTTCTGTATCGTACACCCCAGAAAGTCTCATTGCCTTGCTCTGCAGGTGCATTCCAACTTGAGGTTCGAGTCGTAATAGGTCTCAAACTTCCTTAGAACATCCCTTGCCTTCTTCTCAGACATTTCATCCCCTACTTTGTATCTAACGAAAACAGACACATCGTCGATCAACCGAATCCCCCGAATCAACCGGCAGTCGTTACCCAATGAAACCAATAGGGAAAATTCAGAGAAGGCACAGAGGAGATAGGCGATAGCCAGGCTAGATGGTTTCCCCATCGGTATACCTATAACTTGTTTGAGAACCTGCTTACTGGCAACCGTGTAAGTATGTTTCAGATCGAAAGCAACAAACTCACGAATCAGGTCAAATTCCACCTCTTGCCATCCTTCTTGTGCTTTCCTCTTCTGCAGTTTACCTTCTTTCCCTCTTGTCTTCAACAATACACTGTTTATCCCACACCCTTCCCAAAAATCTATGATCCAACCCAGAGCATTCATAATGGCATCGTGAGGAAGGTTACAAAACATTTCATTGATATCGAAGGCCACAGTCATCATTCCTTCTCCCCGGTTCCAATCCTTGTTGACATCCTTCAAGGCCTCCACCAACATATTTGTACTCTTGAGATTGAAATGCGTTCCTTTAGGCAGGCTCCAAATCATAACGTTGACACAACGTGACACTTTCCTACATGCCCGCATATTACATTCAGAGAAAGATGGACAAATAGGACGCCATCGTGAAACATCTTTGTGTTTTGGGATAGCATACGCCTTCCCTAAGCTCCCTTTGGAGTCTCATCTTGCCAACTTTTGTAGCCCTATCCTCACATATTCCTCTTTTGCGCCCTGCAACAGACACTCCTCCTCTTTCTCACAAATACGAAACCCAGGATTACGAAAAAACAGTGAATCCATTCCCTCCCGATATCTGATTGGACAGCATACCAGTGTATCTCCGGGATTGTGATCAATCGGGGTCAACACCAAACCACTCAGTTTCCTCCTCCAACTCAAAATTTCTTCTTCCGCACAAAATCCCGAATCTCTCACGGCAACTGTTCTTATGCAACCAACCAGCTCGTCCCTCTGCAAGACAGGGGCCGAAAGATCCAACTCAAGGAAGGAACGACCTATCTGCTTCCTCAGCCGACTAACCGCATTGAACTTAGACGGTCTAACCACATTACGATTGTTACGTAACGATGGAGGTTCTCCTTCTAGGTCATTCAAACGAAAGCAGATGTGTCCATTCATCATAGGAAAATCCCCAATTATCTCCGAACAAATGCATCGTGTATCCCCACTCCTTGCGAACTCCCGAAAGTTGCAAACGATATCACCTACACTTTTGTTTTTCAGCCCAACAATTCTCATCCTCCGCACCAACATCTTCTTCCATTCCTCATTCCCTTCGATCCTCATTACAGTTTTAGAGCAAAAAGCTCTAACACCGGGCTTACTTAAAGTCAGATCATAGGTAATCCGAACCACCAGTCTTCTCCTAATATTACAACCAAAATTACGACGAATAACTCCTGATAAAATGAATCGAAGGAGAAAACGGCTCCGCTTTTCCGAGAAACTACGGATAGCAGAAAAGGCACAGATCAGAACAGACAACCCCCAACTCTTCAAATCCTTCCTAGAGGCAGGGTTGGCCAACAAACCCGATAGAGTAGGCTTCAAAACTAATGTCCGACTCATGAGTGACACAATATCAGAGATGGTTACATATTTACCCGGCCGAAACATGCCCTTAGCCTTCTTTAGCAGTTCGTAATGCCCCCCGGATTCAATCAATGAGGAACCGTACTTCCTTTTCAGCAACTTCCAATTTTCAGCGAGAAGATCCTCACCCGAGCAGTAAATTCCAACAGACAAGATACGTAAGGAAATACATCGATCGAGAATAGAAGATCGACAGGCAGATATAACACCCGCGGATGAATGAAAAACCATATGAGTCTGAGCGACCCTTGCTTCTATGGCAACACCCTGTTTATTTTTCTGTCTCTTCCTTTCATGCTTCCCTTTCCGACATCGTTTCTTTCTTCCCACACCATCACGACTGTTCAAGTATAGACAAAGTAACTTAATCACGAACTTCTCCAGATATAAAACATCAGCCGATTCACAACACAGCACAGGGAGCGCCACGTAATCACCCACTTTCCCCCGCCTGAGCCATCGATAAAGCTTATGAATCCTGTGTCCCCCTACGACATTTACTGCACTTAGAGCCCTATATACGTGCTCGCCCCATCTAACAGGTAAATCACGAGTGGTGGAGCCAACATACATATGCCTAGCCCAAGGGGAGATAAGTACATAAACCAAAGGTCCCTTGCACTTTTCAAAATCATAGCCATTGGACATCAAACTCAGCAAATAGCCCTTAATCCTCTCCGCCCAAGGTATCTGCCCTCTAAGTATAAGATTGATGACCAGAAGACGGAAGAAGCCATTAAAGGATTTATCACGTAGATAAAAGGCAGAGTCCGTGGATGACCCAACTAGCGAGGACGAAGGGAGGTGGGAAAGAGAAGTAGAGGACGGGAAGGAAGGGGAGTGCGAAGGAGAAAAGGACGTCGATGTGGTGGAGGGATCGGATGAATTAGGCGAGGTGTTAGACTGATCATCACCAAGCGATTTCCCTAATCTCTCTGCTAGCAGACCCGCGCCCTCACGCTTTTTCCGGCATTCATTCGTCAGCAACCACAATTTAGCCACATCCGAGAAAACACCTCATAGTTCAACCGACCTCTCGTCCCCTTCCTCAGATCTAGATGAGTCTTTCAGTTCCGAATCGTCATCCACCTCCACCACCTGTTTCTTGCCTTAAGAACCTGGATCACCATCCCTTGCCGTACCGAAGGCTTGATCTGCCCAATATTCAGCAAGCTCACAAATCATTTGCTCGACCTTACCTACACGAATCCCAGCCTCTTTACACGTCGGTTCCAGCCCCGCCTTTCTCAGGTTGCGCAACTGCTTCTTCTGATCTTTAATAAATTGAAAACGATTATTAACATCTTTCGCTTTATCAAACATCACCTCCACTGGACCACGTACAGGCGTCGTTTTCCTTCCTCTTCTTACTGATCCAAGCGCTATTGCATCCAACCTTTCTTTGAGGTTCGTTCCTCCGCCTTCCGTCCCCTTTTCCCCTTCAACAGCTTTAAGACGACTCATCTTCTCCTCCTGATCCTTCACCTGTTTTTCCGCCTCCATCCTCTTGGCTTTGGCCATCACTCTCTTTTCCTTTAGCAATTGCGCCTCCACGTTCGCCAGCTTATGTAGACTCTGCAGCTTCATATATTCCTCTTTCCACTTATCATCCTTCCTCAAGTTGTCCGTCCATCGAGGTCTCGGGGAGCCTCGATCTGCAAGTCCTGGGGTGCCCATTGCCACTTTACCGCGCTTATTACCTGGCCTCATTGCTTCATCCTTCCATAATCTAGCTTCTTCCACGGCCTTCTCATTCTGCCTTCGCAACAAATCCACCTCCTTTCATAGACCGACAATCTCCTTCTCAAAATTAATTTTTAGGAAGGCCGACTGCTTCAGCTTACCCAACTCCTGCTTAAGCACGAAGATCTCGTCCCCCTCCATCTGCTTATTGTCCACCAGTTTACGTAACTCATAAATTTCATTCTGCAATTTGGACACGCTGTCTCCCTCCTTCCGACTGGTTCCTTCCCTGCTCAGCTTCCTCTTCAACTCCTCGTTTTCACGTTTCAAACGCGCCATCTCGGTGTTTTCGATCTCCCTTGCACTGGTTCCATCCCAATAGGTTTTTTGTTTTAGCTCTTCATTTTCACGTTTGAGACGCGCCACCTCACCCTCCAACTCCTGATTGCCACCCGCGCCATTCAATCTTCTAAGGAGTTCGTTATTCTCCTTTTTCAGTCGTGCAACCTCATCAGGTTGATTCACCCCACCCTGCTCGTCTTTCTTCTTCAACCCAAATTCCTCAAAGCGCTTGTCCAACCTAGCGGCCATCTCCGCCGCCAACTTCTCTCTCTCCTTCCTCCATTCATTGCGCTTGGTTTCTTCGTCTTTCCTTATTCTCTCTTTCTCTTCGTCCTCCTTGCGCTTCCTCTCGTTTTCCTCATCTTGCACGTATTTATTCTAAACCTTGTCCGGACGATCCTGATTATCCTTCCACCAGTTATTACGATGCCGGGGTTGATAACCGAAGGAGGGTTGAAGAGCTGTAGGGGCCACGTTATTAGCAGCAGCCGCATGAGCCCCATTGGGAGCCGGAAGCGCAAGAATCGGGGCACCAGTAGGAATGGCATTAGCACCCGTAGCCGGAGGTCGAGGCCCGTAAACTCGCTGCGGACAATCTCTGTTCCAGTGATTGAGAGCGCCACAGGTAAAACACCCTTGATTCCGCGGAGCACCCGCCATGTTTCGTCTTCAATAATCAACAACAAAAAAACAGACCAAGTGAGCGTTCCGATATGATACAAGCAATAATGATATTACGTCACGAGTCACTCACATGTAGTCTTATCGCTACGGCGGTTCCACCGTTGAATTGATGGTAAGTATGCGCTGCATACACATCCACGAATATCATTACGCAAGCACATAGCGGTACATTGGCCGCAAGCAGCCTAATGGAGAAGGTCAAACAATAACATAGTCGAATTTGACCAATCTGGCCTATTCAAACCAGCAAAACCATAACGCCAAACGAAGACCATACAAGGAGCAAATCAATGAGACTGACAAAGAAGAGGTGTAGGAGGGGAGAGATGAAGAAATTAGGAAAGAGAGAGAGAGAAAAAAGAGAACAAAGAGAGAAAAGAAGCAGAGGGAAAGAGATCAGATGACACGTTAGAGTCTCCCGAACGCGACTGAGCTCGAATTAAAATCGTAAACAACATAGCTCCTGAGGTCCAATCGTAGTTGGGCATCCTGCCCGTAGTCGTCAATATCAAGATGGACAGCGGCGAACGACCCTACGTTTCATCCGGCCGCCGAACCGGAATCGTCAGGGGTCTTCGTCACGTTAGGTTGCCAACTGACGTATCAATCAATCTATTTATCTAACCGAGTTGACAGCCAAAGATCCCAAGCACCTCGAAGACCCAAGGACAGATTCATAAGAATCAAGAACCTGGACTAGAAGGACCTCATAGGGGTGAAAAGAAAAGAGACTAAACTGAAAATTACAGAACTTCAGAAAAAAGCCAGCGACCGTCGAGACTCGGCCTAAAGAGTGACGTGAGTCAACCAAGTTCCACAAGTTATGCGTTCGAGACCAAAACACCAATACAAGAAAGAAAAGGAAAGCAAATAGAAGAAAAAACCGAGCCGAGACTTCAGGCCCCACCCCAGAAAAGGCCAGTAACCATCAAGACTCAGCCTAAGAGGTAACCTAAGCCTACGAGGTTCCAGGGCAAGGCGAAAGGACAGGCGAAAGATCCGTAAAAAGACAGACATGAGGCCCTCAGCAGACAGAACAGTGCCCCCAGCAGAAAGACAGAGTTGGATAGGCCTGATGCTCTCTCGAACGAACACACGTATGGGGGCTCTTCTGGTCCGGTGCAGGATTTTTTTTTTTTTTTTTTTTTTTTTTGAGAGGCAGTGCTCCAATCTATTCGTGGAGAGCAGCACGTGCTGGGAACTGGGCTCAGCGTCTCGTATGAGTATTTTACAGAACAATTTTAAGGTACTGAGGCCATTACCTGGCTTGGGCTGAGAAATCAATTCATATGAGAAGACGTACCATTCAGAGCCACTAAGATACGAAGATCTTACACCTCCCCTGAGACCCTCTGAGGCTAGCTCTAGTGGGCCCTCCAATCCCTGCCTCACCTCACTTGTCCGGATACCAATACTCTACCAGGCCTCATGCCCCATCACTAGGTTACAGGGCAACGCGACCCACTCCAGCTCCGTCCAGCGCCAGCCTGCTGGTATACACGGATCGCCACTGGAATTGGCTTCCACCCTCAACAACTCCCCAAATCTCCACCAGGCCTCATGCCCCCACCTAACTCATGTTACAAGGCCGCATGACCAACCCCAGCGCCAGCCAGCGTTGTTATGGCATCAGCCCTTCGTAAACTACGGCATGACGGCTCAGCAGGACAGCGAACAGACCACCACACACCACTAAGGTCGCCCTGCCTTCAGTTCCAATCCTACTGTATGCAGTCTTCGAGCGGTATTCGAATAAGTGCGCACCAGACCAAACGCAATTGACACCTTCTACCAATGCAGCCATATTCAAACAGAGAAAACCGGATCTGTTTACCAGGCCTTACAACCCCAACAGGCTGGGTTGTAGAGTTGCACCACCTCGCTCCAGCTCCGGCCTGCGTCGCTCCGGCTTTAACCCCCGTTAGCCAGTGGAACTGCCCCCCCAAAACAGTCCCCCAGATCTCTCTACAGGGCCTCACGCCCCCAATAGGCTGGGCTACAGGGTTGGGCCACCTTGCCCCAGCTGCGGCCAGCGTTGCTCTAGCATCTGCCACGTGCACCACTGAATACAATTGCCTCGGCAAAGTCGCCAATGGGCTATCGGATCTCCCCCATTCCTAAACTCCTGACCACTTGATAATGTTTTTTTTTTTTTTTTTGTTAACCGAAACATCTGTGGCAACCTGCTTTTGGAGGTGATACGAGCATCCTCCAATAGCAAGCCCCAACTTATAGATTGCTCCAATCTATTGGTGGGGAGAATCACCTGCTGGAAACCGGGTCCAGCGTCCCACTAACATGATTGAAGACGATATACATGGCAGAACAACATTGATTGCCCTCTCTCGAGGGGATTGACCGTCCGCCCAATTATCAGCCAGGTCACATCATATATGAAGATCTTGTGACGCCCAACCTCACGCCCAACGCGACTTCCTGATCGGAGTAGGATGTGGGCCTGGAAGTGGGAAAAGGGGTGTGCCAAGGATTTTTGGGAAAGTGGGGGTGGAGTCCCAGGTCAGAACTGAAATCTCCTGTGGCAGGGTTTTTCGGGGGCACGAGTGCAATTTGGCGGAGAGGGCGGACCGCCTCTGGTCAGGGGTTCCGATGAGTGAGGCCGTCGGGAGTTGCCACGTGGCGCCGGTCGTCGCGTGTTTGGGTTAGGCCTCCGGGTTTCCGGGGTTCTCGAATCGCCACGTCGTCGACAATTTCCACAGGGTGTACTAGGCCGGTAGGGGGCTATGGCCTTCCACGGGACGACGCTGAGTTGGTGATACGGAAGAAGAAGGCAGAAGGGAGGGAAGCTGGTGGAGATAACGACAAAGCCGGGGTGGGTGAAGTAGTGGGTATGGTCCTGAGTGGGAAAATCAGAGCACCGGGGGTCGCTAGTGGTGGCGCAGTGAAAGTCCCTAGGACACAGTCGGTTCTCGGTGAGGCAAGGGTATCTCTGTTGGAGGATTTCGTTTACCCAGGGGGTGAAGTAGTCTGGGTCGTACAACAACGACTCCGAGCTCTCTGAGTGTGTCATTATGTCATCGCAGAGCTACGAGATGCCTAAGGGCGGGTTTGTGCCGATTGCGATCACCGCGTGCGAGCACGTGCTGGCTAGTGCGAATCGAGTCGCGCTTATACGTGTTCACCCGGGATGATTGCTCCGTCGCAGGCCCCAAATGACCACGTCCAATCAAACAGTGCTTCTACAATCGATGGTCATTTTTGGGATTGACGAATCGACGCGCGGGGGTACGTATAAATGCGCAACTCAGATCGCGTTTACACGTGTCCTCGCGCGGCGTTCGTTGGGCCAGACATCCGATTGTCTAATCACTCCGTAATTTTTGAGCATGCAAGATGCAACAACCACAACAACTCGATCAAAAGATAAGCAAAAACGAGAACAGGATTACCGTTTACAGAAATTTCCTATCCTACTTATGAGTGCATCAAAGGCAATAAACAAAGGCAAAGGCTCCGGTAGAGAGACAAGCAACCAAACATAGCACCCATATATCCATTCATTCAGCAACATACACACAGTGCATCTGAGATGGAAATCGCAAAGACAAGTGTGAGCCAAAAACCCAAGTCCAGATTTCGAGAAACAGAAACGGGCAAATCACCCGGAACCGAAATCAAAATTTATATACACGAGACAGGAGGGAGGAAAGATAAAAGAAACAACAAATCCGCGTCCATCAACCTCAACTCTCTCTCTCTTCCTCTCTCTCCTTTTTCGATGTGGACAGTCCGTCGTCGCGCACCAACCCACGAAGCCGTCACCCCGCTTAGTCCTCCCGCACCTGTCTGGTTCGTCCGCGCCCACAGTCTGTCGTGGCCCGCGTCAACCCTGCGCGTTTGGCACCAGCTCGTCGGGTCGCCCGACTCCTGCTCTACTCACCTCTTACTTCGCTCGTGTGCCGACCCTCTCTAATCGCGCTGTCGTGCGCATCGGCCCCCGCGCGAGCGAGGGCCCTCCCGGCCGCGTCACGCAGGAGAAACTTAGCTTTCCAACTTTTTAGAGACAACTCGGGGACGATACGGTAACCCGCGTCGACCCCTCGCCGCTCCGGCCGAGTGCGCCAGCTGTACATCCCGTGGTCCCCTACGACAGGATAGGTTTTCGCGGGGCACAACTTACCTTCCCTAAGGGGCTCTCACCACCCTTAGGGGCGTATCCCCGCCGAGCTACCGACCCACATGTGAAGGCTTTTATAATGCAATTGTAGAGGTAGGTCGGCCGAGGGCGTTTGCTCGTTCGCTGTAGCATAGGTACGCATGGTTAAACGCCAAAGTGAACCCGATCGTCGTTCGTCCCTGGGGCGCTGATCTCCCATGAATCAGAACTTACGCCGGTGGACTAGGACGTGATAACCTAGGTGTAAGAAAATCTCAATCAATCCTAGTCCCTGCTTTCAAAGACAATCAACAGTTACTCAGACAAAAGACTCAAGTCAACATAAGCTGACTTATTTTCTGAAATCGATACAATCATACATATACTCATTTGGGCTGTCACGACTTTCGCCTTGATGAGATGCGTTGCCAAGTTCTTCCCTTCCACCCCATATCGACTGACTTGAACAACCGAACATTAGGTGCCCCGTTGAGATCAAGGATTCATTTTCAAATTTTGTTGGTCGCTTTGTCCTCCTGGGCAATAATTACTCTTTCTGTTCCACGAATGACGAAGAACCCGCCTTCGACATATTGACTTTCAAAGCAGTGTTCTTAGACACATCTTCTTGTTAACTGGTCTGATTACCCCAGGCTTGCACTTCTTATGATGCAACCCTATCCGCGAAGGTAGTGCCTACATGCACTCTGTCCATAGCTAGTGAGAGCACGAATTGGGCTTCTTATGGCACGAGTTCCCCATTCGTTTGTGGCTCCTAAGACGGTCACTAGAAGGGTAAACTATAGTGGTTCTTCTTAACATGAGCCGCCAAGAACTTAACGCCTTTCATGAATAGCACACGTCCACAACATAATCACTTCCCAACAATCTGACGACGTTTCAGCGTCGCCGTCACACCAACCGCACCACCACACCGTTCACCGTTCACCTTCCACAAACCGACGTTTCAGGACCTGCCGCCACCGTGCAGTACGGGCAGAGTTTTCCCTGCGCTGCTTGTCAAAGATTTGTCGCCGCCACGCCGTGCAGACAGTACTTCCCCTATACTTCAGAACTCCAGTCGCCGCGCAGACCGTGCAGCATTTCCCCTCCACCACTGAGATGGTGGCTATGGCTGTGCTTCACAGCTATGACCCTCCTCCTCAGCAGTCTCCTCCTCAACTCTCTCCTCACTCACTGCAGACCTCCACCAGCAGCACCGCCCCACAGCAGCAGCCAGCCAGCATTCACTCAAGTGAATGCCTCAGCAGCACTGCCACAACTTGTGAGGCTGCTGGGTGGAATGCTGGCTTTAATAGCCAGCCGAGAGCATGTGGGCAACTGCTTTGCCCACAGCCAGAACTCGGAATGAGGCCTGGCCCTTGATCTAAATCGCGATCAAGGGCCACAAAACTTGATGTTCCCTTAGGGGAACCAAGTTCAAGGCCCTGACAATGCATCTGGCCTTCACCCGCGGCCAGACGCAGTGTGCAAATGGCTGTATAAAGCCAAGTAGAGCAGACTGTTGAAGTTCAACAGTCTGCAATCACCTCAAGGTCCAGAAGCTTCTACCCCCTGCATCTGGCCCCGCGTCGTGATTAGATTCGCGATGCTCTCTCTCCCTTTTTTTTTTTTTTTTTCCAGCCCTTCTCTCCTCTTCCTTTCTCTGCACCTGTTCTGCCCCGGCGGCCACGTACGTGGCCGTTACCCCCTCGTTTTTCTATACAGGGGCAGCTTGCTGCTCGAACGAATGACCGCCCCTCCCCAAGTCATTTCACAGTGTCGAACTAGAGTCAAGCTCAAAAGGGGTCTTCTTGTTTCCCCTGCCCCGCGGCCCGTACCTGGACGTTTACGAGACCAGGTCCGGGCAAGTCGCAGTCTGTTGCAGCCCGTTTCTCAAAACGAACGGGCGCAGCATTGTGACTCATCAAATAGGGTCCCCCTCTCTCTCTCTCTCTCACACACACACACACACACACACACGCATATACTGCGTGTATATTTCCATGTTCTGGCTGAAGGTTCACCCCGATCAGCAGACTGTCGGGGTACAACCTCGTGATGAGTCGGTGGACGTCCGACAAAACAGTCTGGCGCAGTCATGTCTTGCCCCGTTCGTCCAAAACGAACGGGTGCTCAGTGAATCGCCAGACACAAAGAAGAAAAGGAAGAAGGAAAAAAAATCTAAAAAGAAAATTTATCAAAAATCTAAACGAAATCTTAAGAAAAAAAAGAAGAAAGAAAAAAAAAAAACTTACCTTGAATTGAAAGGGCTGTCCGTAAATCGGGCGCCCGTTACATTTCGTGGGGACACTAAGTCCCCGTCACTTCTCCCTGGGCCATGTGGCGCTCCGCTTCAGCCTTTAGTTTTAGTTTTAGTTTTCCTTCTTTTTTTTTTCCTCCCCAACGGTTACCTCCCGTCGGTCGCTTCGCCCCAATGGCACAAAAAGAGAAAAGAAAAACAAAAAGAACAAAAAGAAAAGGAAACGACTTACCTTGGTGATGCTGCCATCCCTACTTACGCGTCTAGATGCGGGCAGGTAAGTTGTCCTCCCCTTTTTTTTTCTTGACCTTTTTATTTTTATATATATTTTTTTTTCCAAAAAAAGGAAAAAAAAGCCCAGACCATTTCTCGATTTATGCGTGTCGTCCTCGCGCAGGGGCCATGCTAATCTCTTTTGCGCGGCTGATTCCAGCCGCACGATCTCTTCGATCGCGCGGCCGAAATCGACCGCGCCAACTCACCTGGCTGCTCCAAAAAGGAGCCAGCCCGAGGGCACATATGGGTTCGATCCTTGGATCTACGAGGTGATAGTCTGTTACGTTTACCTCTTGGGGTGGCTCCTACTACAGTTGTAATAGGAGCAGCTCTCCTACTTAAAGGGTTGTGGAGCCTGGCCCACCGTCCCTTAGCAGCACGGCCGGCCCCCCCCCAGCCTGTGGCCTTGTCGGCCTCGCCCGTTCGGGGCATCACAGGCCTCGCTTATTGGTCGTGCCTTACTGGCCAGCCATGCTACCCTGGCTTGGTATTCACCTAACCGGGTAGGGCTCGACATCGACCAGTTGGCCTTCTATTTCAAATCCAACCTCGCACGCCCAGACTTCCTATTCCTCCTGCGCCGCGACTCTATACCCGGCGCACCCCTGTTTTTAGCCTACTTAGGCCCTGAATCGCGCGGCTGCTAAGCGTCGACTCTTGCCGTCTCGAACTAAGGTTGATGATGTCACACGTCAACGACGTCCTACGTCAACGACGTCAGGCTTTTGGTCTCTCAGTCATAGGGTTGGTCTGAATAAACTTTGGCAACATCAACCTCGTCAAGTCTCTCAATCCAAAAAAAGGTCAGGCAGTGTCTGCCCTTAAAAAACTTGGGTAGAAACCCTCTCAGGGGTTTCTGTCCCGACAGCGCAACCCCGAGCTTCCAACAACTGGTTAAGAGAGCTAACTAATCGCGCAGCCGGAATTTATAGCGTGCATGCATGTACGAAGAACACGGAATTACAAGGACTTAGAAGGGAGATTAGAGAGGGAGCGCCTGCGTTCTGTATGACCAGGCCCTGGCGTGGGGGACGTAGCCGCTCTCCACGCATCGATCCGATCATGGAGACCGTGACTTCCAAAAACGCAGAAAAAGAAAGAGACGAAGGGCGGGAAAGACGAAGCACAAGAAGAAAGATACAGTTACAATGGCCCCAGCCCAAAATTACAGTTACACACCCGATTAAAGGCGCCGACTAATCAAAATTCCGTTGCAGCCGCATAAAGAAGCGCGTAAGCAAAAGGTGTCGCTCGGCAAAAGAAAGTCCTAATCACAAAATTCCTAAATTCCTAACTAATGTGAAAAAGAAAAAGTACGGGTTCCGGAAGGAAGGTCCGAAATTCCGAGAGCCATCGGGGCTCGACAAAATTCGAAAAAGAATTCAGAAAGAAAATTCAAAAGAACGAAGCAAATTCCCACGCGATGTCCGCGCCCAAAAGTTCTGAAACCGAACAAAAAAGAAATGACGTCAACATTTATTAATCGCACGCTTGGCGGCGCGCCAGCCATTCGACCAGTCAATCACCCATCCCGGGACACACCCAGCTCCAAACTCAGCCATCCGAAAAGAATCGACGCAAAAGACGAAGAAGCGAGGGTACTGATGCAATTTCCCACCGATCCCGATCTCCCGTAATTGGCCCAACCTTCCCAGCTTAGGACCCCTCATTGCAATCGCGCAGAAAGTTGCGGGCTACAGAAAGTGGTTCGTCACAATCTAGCCATGAGGAGGGTGGCAAACTCTCCTCCGATCATCCTAATTCCTCACAGTCATAACCGTGCAAAGCAAACCCTAGGCCCCCTCCGTGCATAAGGCCGCTGCCCAGCTCCATGATTCACATTTTCCTCCAGCGGAGGACGTCTGCCTATCCTCCCTTATCGTACGCTATTCACCCGGAGAAGATCAGTCTCACAAGATCGTTTATATCAAATTACTGGCAGAGGATAGCAACATCTGCGACATATTTCGTTGTTGTTATTTTATGTTGACGATGTTGATAATACAAATGCTACTGGTGAGCCAAACGCCACAGGGCATCAAACTTTCCTTTCCCCCCCTCTACCGCTCACCCTTTCCCAACACTGCCCCTGCTGAGGAGAGCTACCCTCCTCAGTCCCAACGCGTGACAGACCCACTCCCTAACCCCTGCTTCCTCAAGGACATGCAGTTCCCTCCTAAAGAATGCCCTTGCCAACCCCTTGGCCCTATCTGCCCACGCTGGGGTTGGGCGCAAAACCATCTCTCAACCCCAGCCCCAGAATAGGACAGCCCCCAAGATCTGCCCCTATCCCCTTCATGGCTTTCACCCCCCACATTGTGAAGCCCTGTGGAGCTGTGCTTCCCGTCTCACACTGAACCCTCCTACCAAGGTCTAAGTTTTCATATCTACCCTTGCCCACCACACAAACCCGAACACAGAGAAAATCTAATGCTCCCATATAAGAAGTTTTATTAAGAATTTACTGTTAGTGTCCTAAAGAGGCTAACGAGCACTATTTGATTTGAATTACTAGGGATAGTAGGGAATGTGTTGCCGACACGTAACTGATCGATACCTCAGACTAGGACAGTGTGCGTGTGACTAAGCCGCTACTAGGTAGATAACTAGTATAAGCAGAGGGAAAGGCCAAGGCCAATGGCCTTCTATTATCAGATGGTCAGGAAAGCTGGTGGTACCGCAAGGCCATCTTGGGAGAAGCGCCTAGAGGCTAGAGGAGTGCCAGGAGTGCAACCTGGCTGAAACACGTCGGGAAATACGTGTGTTTCTACTGAGAGCTGTGCATGCAGAGTTGTAATGTTTATCTGTTGAAGCATGCGCGAGAAGCAATCTATAGCCACTGTTTTCAGTCTTCTTCTTCTTCTTCTTCTTCTTCTTCTTCTTCTTCTTCTTCTTTCTTTCTTTCTTTCTTTCTTTCTTTCTTTCTTTCCTTCCTTCCTTCCTAAGGCTTCTTCTTTCTTTTTCCTCCTTCTTCTTCCTTCTTCTTCCTTCTTCTTCTTTCTTCGTTCTGCCTCCTTTCGTCTTTCTTCTTCTTCTTCTTCTTCTTCTTCTTCTTCTTCTTCTTCTTCTTCCTCTTCTTCTTCTTCTTCTTCTTCTTCTTCTTCTTCTTCTTCTTCTTCTTTTTCCTCCTCCTCCTCCTCCTCCTCCTCCTCCTCCTCCACATGGCAATGAGCAGCATTGAGTGCGCTTACTCCAAGTGCAGTAGGTGCGGAAGTCAAATGATTGTACTTTGGAAGCATGTACAAATAGCGATTTGGCCACTGCTTTATCACTATTCTTCTTCTTCTTCTTCTCCTTCTTCTTCCGTGTCATCGCTGTCGTTCTGATCGTCTCCTTCTTGGTTGATCGTCTTCATCTTGGTTGCCACCTTTGTCTTTGTCTCTGTCTTTGTATTTGTCTTTGTCTTCCTTTTCTGCCTTGTCCTCCTCGTCTTCGTCTTCTTCCTCCCCCCTTTGCCATTCATTTTCTCTTGGCAGGACAACCTTGATGTGATCGTGAACTATGGACAAAATGACTTGGTGGTCACTCCAGAGATGGTGGAGGAAACCTTTCCACGCTTCCCAGGAGATGCTTCAGTGAATCTTTTTAAGAGCAAGAGCCACTATGACTTCGCATTCACAGCTTGTCAGAACGAGCCAGCTGCTCATGTTTTTTATCGCCATTTAATTTCTGATCATGGAGATGACGGCGGAGATGATGAACAGATGCAAGACATGGCAAACGATAAGCATGATTATAGACATGTCGTATCCCTGTCCCTTGAGGATGTGGTGCTTTTGCACCAATCGGTGGCTCCCTGGTGGCGCCCAGGCAAATCCAAATTTCATGAAGCAACCCCCAGGGCTCTCTCTTTTGGAGATAACTACCTCCTCACTCCAGGACACACAGGTTCCAAGGTCTATCCAGTTGATGGCGTGTTAGTGCAGGTTGAAACACTCCGGCAGCCAGAAACATCTCCTGGTCCTCCTCGTTCCATTACCGTCGTAAAGCCTAATGTTACAAAAGGGGGGTATGTGTATTACCCAGGTGCGTATGTGGATTCAAGAGCCTACTTGCCTTTGGCTTTTCAAATTGCAGCTCGCGGGTACATGGTGGTAATTCCGGAGTTCCCAAGACGCCTAGCGGTGACGCCAGACAGCGTACTCGTAGCAGAGCGGATCATACAGTCTAATTATACGATAATCCGAAGTGTTGCACAGGACAAATGGGCTGTAGGCGGGCACTCATTAGGTGCTTTGGCTGCATGCAGCTATGCCGGACTCTCTCCACGCCACCCTATCCAAGCTCTTGTGATGCATGCTGGAAGGTGTCGTGACCTTCCGATGACGAATCTGACACAATCACCTTTGCCACTCGCAGACATCTATGGAAGTCTTGATTGGTTATTTGCACCCAAAGATCCTGACGATTTCTATGCCAAGAGCACTCTTCATCCATTGGTCATGAACGTCACTGCGATTAAGTTCTTCAGAGTGGATGGAGCGAATCATTACCAGGTCGGAGACTATGGCTATCAGTTCAGCGACAACATTGCGACCATTGGGCAAGATGACCAGGAGCGAATCTTCGCTCAGATTACTGCAGAATTCCTGGACAAGGCTATGGGTTATAAGAGCTAGTCATTCTAAGTTGAATGGTGCAACCAACTACAACTCGAAATAATCTGGTGCTACCGTCGTGTTCTCAGACTGTTCTCAGCCGAAGCCGGGAATGGCCCCGGTATGGGGGTAACTCAATTAAATCTGGTTCTAACTTCTGCGGGGATAACTCACGCTAAGGACTTCCCCAACTGATTCCAATGGTGTTAGAGGTGCAGCTCCCCACCAATGGACTGGTGCCAGTAGCTGAGCTKTTTAAAAAAAAAAAAAAAAAAAAAGGGTGTTAAGGGAACGATCCTGAAAAAAACAAGTAAATAAAAAATATAGTGCTACCGTCTCCTCTCCCCCCCCCCCCCCCAACACGATGCACCCTGATAATGAACGCATACAAGAATTAGCTATCGTTTGGGTCCGGTGCAGCCAAAATGAGGGTACGTAACCGTACGTTGGGTTCGGCAGAAGAGTCTGAGGTACGTAACCGTACGTTGGGTTCTGCGGAAGAGTCTGAGGGTAGTTAGGATCAGAATGTACTTAGTCTAGTCAATACTACTCAATAGCAGACTGGACTATTATGTGTTGGGGGGTGTTCTCAGAATGCTGCCAAACTCTTTTGAGCAGTGCGGGACTGACAAAATCGACAGACTCAAGTGCATGAACATTTTTGTGTGCACCTCTTCTGGGCCGGCAAAGGGATCAACATTGGGGAAAGGCAGGGGACGGGTAGGGGGACAGTTAAAGGTGGAGGGAGGGTGAGTTGGGTAAGGGGAAGACAGCGGTGGAAACGGAAGGGAAAGGGAGCTGAAAGAGGAGGGGGCAGGGGATAATGGAAGGGGAAAAAGGGTACGAGATAAGAGGGGTGTGGCAGGTATCTAGCTGCTGATAAATGTCTTGGCTGTAACTTATATAGGTAATGTGGTCAGGGAGTGGTAAAGCTTGGAAGTGGCTACCCGGGCTACCCCCATTCAGCGTTCAGGGGTTTTTCGTACGGGCTGTTCAGATCCTATTCGACCGGAATGAACGGCCAGTGGGGAATTTTCCTTCGAGTAGTTAAACCACCGGTACTTGGCCCAGCTATCCCTGCCGAGCCTGCCGACCCCCTGCGCGCCAAGTTCCCCCGAACCGCCGCGGCGCTGAGCGGCATCCACTGTGGCTGGAGCCTCCAGTCAGTGCGGTCCGGTAGGCCGAAGCGCGGGAAACGCATAGCGTTAACGCTAAGGGCCCGCGGCCGATGTATGGGCCAAGTACTGGCCGCGGTGGTAAGAGAACCGCCGGAATTGAGGGTCTCTTTGTCGGGCTGCTCCATCTATTGGTGGGGAGCGGCACCTGCTGGGAATCGGGCCAAGCGTCCCATTAGATCATCATGAAGCACAGAGTTTTTGTGATTTTATCGTAGGGCTTATGGGTTTTCCTGTTTACACTCTGGGGCTCCCTTTTTTCCCTGGAGCTGCTGATATAACCCTACCCTTGTCAGAGCGCCCTTTTTTCATTTTCCCAGCCCTATTGTGCAGCCCCCCTGATTGTAGTTGCACTGTGTTACCCCTTTCTGTGAATTCTTATAACCTCTGAACCCTCTGGGGCCCTTTGCAGCCATCACAGTCAACCTCTCCCTCACCCCAACGTCCCCTTGGATTCACCCCAACGTCCCATTGGATTCTGTTCCCAGCCGGGGTAATCTGAGGGGACCCTTGTCTGTTGCCCCAGCCCTGGTGTGCTTCCCCCTGATTGTCATTATAATGTGTCATCCCTTAAAACCCTAAACCCTCCATAAACCTGTGACGCCGACTCACGGACAGGGGAAGCATTGCTACACTGGAAGATAGGGGGAGAGGGCACAGGAGGCGTTACAGGGGGGGTGACTCTTAAGGCAGGGACGGTGTAGTTCATGCCCCGAACAGTAGTGGGGACTGAGGCTATGTGTCAGTACTTAGGAGACAGTGCGCCCCTACCACTCAATTCGTATTCTGAGTTTTTGAAAGGGTAAACAAGATCTGCACTATGAAGAGAGTGGCCAGATGGGCCAGGTTATAAACCAGCTTCCGGAATGGCTGACCCCACTCCCAGTCTCGTGTTCCTCCGAGTAACTGCTGTTGCAGATCGTGAGCTGTAGTATGACGATCCGGCTCGGCTGGCCCGCTGTGCTACGCCTTGTAGTTCTCCGAAATCCAGACTGTCCTCAACCGGCTTGTGATGCAGGGGAGGGAGGACAGATCGGATTCAGGTGGGGAGGGGGGGGAGGTGAGGTAGAAAAGGAGCGGGGGAAAGGGAAGGGGGGGGGGGGGGGCTCATTGGGGGGCAAGAGGGGGGGGGGGGGGGGGGGTAGCGGAAAGAACTGGGAATTCTGCGAGGGATCTGAAGGGCCAATTTCTTTCATCCTTTCTCCAGTGCTTCCATTGAATTTGGGAATCAACAATGTCAGCGAGGGTCTTTCCAGGTCCCAGCCATTGTTCGGTGAACAGGGTTGTAGCATCTTCCATTTTCTGTTTTTCGATTGCATCTGTCAGAAGCCGATCGTGTTCTATCGCTTTTTTTAAGATAGACAGTTTGTCCCATGCCGCTTTGGTTATGGCGTGCAGGTCAAGTGCTGGTGGTTTAAACCCCTTGAGAAAAACAACAAAAAAAATCGGGGCATTTCCTGACTTCTGTTCTTTTTTTTGTTTTTGAAACAAAAACGCATCCTTCTACTAGGGGGTGTGATACAAGCAGTCCTGACTTCTGGGGCCAAGTCCTACTGTGTTTTGGGTTTTCTTACATATGTTTCTTTGTGATCTGTGTGATCTGGCTAACCGTTGTCACAACTTGTCAGTAGCAGTCTGTGGGTTTCGTCTACGGGAACAGATTTTTTTATTTTGTTCTTAGACCTGCTTGGCTAACTGTCTTTGGGACGGCTCTTTGTTGACGTATGTGCTTATGATGGTTTCAGAGTAGCTGGGTTTCTATTTATATAGCAAACCGATCAACCTGGCTATTTTTTACAGGAAGATGCACCTCGTTTCGTTTTCTATTTCTTGTCCCGTGCGGCGACGCTCTATGGCGGAAGAGGGACCTGCAGTGACTTTCCGGGGGCTACCTTGTTCCCCCGAATACAGCGTACGGTCATTATGGCTGTATTTGAGGCATCTTTCGGTCTAGATACAGCTATGATGACCATACCTTGTATTCGGGGGAAGAAGGTAGATCCCACTTTCCCGAATTAAGAGATACTGACCGTAGATAGCTGCAAAGATCAATGGCCGAAATCTCCCAATTTTTGCAAGTGGGACCTTGCCCTGGGGCCTGGACCCACTAGCGGAGTATTTTTTATTTTTTATTTTTATTTTTTTCTGCGCAATTGAAGTATTTTTGTTCAATGATAATTCAGAGGCCGGGGTCCTCTACATTACTTCCCGGTTCAAAACCATTATCTGGAAGCCTCACCCAGCTTAGCTTACAGGCTGGTAGCCTGCAGGTCTAGCGGAGTATTCTACGATGTGTTACACAATTTTATGGTTTTTTGGAAAAGACAAAGTGATTTTTTTTGCTTGAATGGATCGTTATCTGATTTAAAATGAATTGAAATGGCACATAAAACAGAGAACAACAGCGTGTTACGCAATTTTATGTTTTTTTGGAAAAGACAAAGTGATTTGTTTTGGCATGAATGGATCGTTATCTGATTTAAAATGAATTGAAATGGCACATAAAACAGAGAACAACAGCTGTGCACCCGAATTCATGGGTTGGTACGATCTC